AACCCTAAACCCTAAACAGGCTTTAAAGCCGCCATGTTGTTCAGCCCGGCACGCTGTTGCCACATATGAAGATGGATCAAGGAAGGCGGTGAAGTCATCCTTCAACCGAGAAGCGGAATAGTTTGCTTTGCTTTGTGGGGTATCTTGGGGGGAAGCCTCAGCTGAAGACCTTCCTAAATAATAGTAATCATAAAAGTAACAATAATATTCGTAATAATAGTAATAATACTACTACAAATAATGAGAAATAATGATATAGCGTGAACATCCCAGTAGCCTTTCAAGGGGTGCCGCCATCCTCGGACATGACTTGCTACCTTTGCCCTCAGCCTTGGTCCTGAAGGCAGTGCGTGACCATCTCCGGAGAAGAGAAGACCCAGTCAAAGGGCCCAGGCCACCGTCTGATTCCCAAGTGCTCCATGGCCTCCCATCATGTAGACCCGTGACGAATGAAACCCGCTTAGGGTTTAGGGTTTAGGGGTTTAAGGGTTTAGGGTTTAGGGTTTAGGGGTTTAGGGGTTTAGGGGTTTAGGGGTTGCGTCACATCATGTGAGTAGTGTTTTTGGTGGTTGAACCTAGTAAGATATGATTCCTTATATAAAATACTATACCCCAAAAGGAGGATGGAATCTTACTCTATGATGGGTACCATAGTATCCCCAAATAAAATACTACTCATGTAGACCCGTATTTACTGAAACCCCCTCCCCTTAGTAGGGATTATCATAGGGGTCCTAATACTTAGGCCCTTAAAAGGAAGGGGTTTATTAATCATGGGTCTACATTACTTCATACTAGTAGTGTCCGTTTTCTTGTCCGTTTACACCTATGTAAACCCTGTGTAACCCTGTACACCCCTAATAAAATAGTTTCCATATTCCTTTCCATCATTCCCCTATATAAACCATCCACACAGCACCGGCCCTCAGACTTTTTGCGGCCTTCTCAACTTGTGTGTCTCATCATGTGTGTGCCCTCATGAAGATGCTCTAGCTTAACTGCTTACCTCTGCTTAGCGAGGAGTGATCGAAGGAATGGATCCTTATAGTGGTCCCTAGAAAACCCCCTAAACCCTAAACCCTAAACCCTATACCCTAAACCCTAAACCCTATACCCTAAACCCCTAAACCCTATACCCTAAACCCATTATGGCAGGTCCCATTTTCTTTTCCATTCCTTCATTCCCCCGCCTGTGCTGTCATGCAGAGGCTGCCGAGGGATGCGACGTGCCTCACTGAACCACGGCTAGGGAGATCAATGGCCTCCTCAGGGTTTAGGGATTAGGGTTTAGGGTTTAGGGTTTAGGGTTTAGGGATTAGGGTTTAGGGTTTAGGGTTTAGGGTTTAGGGATCAATTGCCTCCTCTTCGCCCCCGGTGAGCAGGAAGGCCGCCAGCTGGGAAACTGTGCCGCACCTTTGTGAAACCCAGGCCTCCACATTAGGATTTTATGACTTTCATATGGGCAGTTCCCAAAACAAGGGTCCCATTTTGCTACAGAAAACTTGTGTTTGGGGATTCACGGGAAGCTGTATATTTCAAACAATCCGCGAAGGACTCCTGCAATCCTATAAGGGTTCTAATGGGAACCCCAAACAGGGAAGCCCAAGAATATAGTATAATAGAATATAAGGGCCCTGGTAGGTATATCCCTATGATATTACTACTATATTCTTGGGGTCCCTATTTGGGGTTCCCAGTTAAAGCCCTTTAAATCCTGCGCATAATTGAAAATTGAAAGCACGCCTTGTTCCTCACATGTAAACTCAGCTGTGCTCTTTCTGCAGTTTAGGGTTTAGGGTTTAGGAGGAACTGCCAATACCCTATAAAACCCTACATAACTGCAGTTTAGTTGTTTTCCATGTTCTTGTACATTTGATTCTCCATTATTGGGTGTGTATATATATAAATATATATGAGCGTTCGCCGAAACTTCTTGTTAATCCGATGCCATGGACAATTTGGGGGGGGGGTCCTACCGCTTTTGAGGGTTTTGGCGTAGGATACAAGAAACGTTTCGCTTTTTGGGGGTTCAGCCAAAACACAGTCATGGTTACGGCTTAGATTGAGGGGTATCGCTTTTGGGGGGTCCTAGCGCTTTTGGGGCTTTTTGCACGATTTCTACATCTCACAGCATTCCTTCTCTTCATGCCTCATACGCGAGTTTTGACCATTGCTCATATACATATATATATATATGGGTGGTTGTCAAAATTATGGTCCCTTTTTGGATCCCTATTCTAATACGGCACCTAATATTCAGGGTGCCCAGAAAGGGACCATAATTTTGACAACCACCCATATAGGAGTCCCCCATTCTGGGGAAACTATCAAATCTTGCTGAAGTCCATGCCTTGGTGCTGAAACATCGTGGCGGCGCTTAGCGTTGGCCACTGCCTCTGCGGCCACCTCCAGGCCAGGCTTCTCCTGGCCCCAGACCCCCCTAAAGGATCCAAACAATGGAACCCCCTCAATATGAACCCATTTCTACATGGGGGAGACTAGGGGATTATTAGGGGGGTCCAATTTTTGGGATGCTTTTGGGGGTCTGGGGCTGTCCACACCCCTGATGCAAAGGCAGAAACTGCTCGTGAACTGTTTTCCACCAAGGGTAAAAGGAACCCTTCTTGGACAAATTGCCAGTTAGGCATGTGCCTCAATCTAAAATCAAAAGGGGTCCTTGCATGGGGGATGCGGAGGTTTCCACAAGACGACCCATATGGCTCCAAAGCCCTAATGCAGAGACATGAGAGACCAAATTCTTCACATACCATGCTAACACCCAACCCTTGGGATCCAAGTATACAAATCCTACCTACATTGGGCCCTGAAGTCTGTGAATATTATACCTACACTGGGCTATTTGAATCCCTACATCCCTATGGCAAGAGCTCCCCAGTGAGGCGGCGAAGGCGGCCGACATGGTCGAGTTCAAACCCAGGTGTCGCCATTCCTCGCCTTGGGTTTAGGGTTTAGGGTTTTAGGGTTTAGGGTTTAGGGTTTAGGGTTTAGGGTTTTAGGGTTTAGGGTTTAGGGTTTAGGGTTTAGGGTTCGCACTCGCAGCATGAAGACTGGGTTGCTGTCAAGGTATGGAAATTAAGTTGCCGTAAGATGGGCGTATAGTAAATAACAGGGTATGCCTATTGTTATTGTAAGAACTTCATTTCAATTCCTTCACAGCAAGCAAGGCGGAGGCAAGTTCCGCGGCTTCAGGGAAGGCGCACGAATGGCAGAGGCTGTGGGAGAGCCTAAACCCCAAAGCCTTAACCCCAAATCCTAAGCCCCTAAGCCCTAAGCCCCTAAACCCTAAACCCATAAACCCTATACCCTAAACCCTAAACCCCTAAACCCTAAACCCCTTGAATCCTTAACCCTATACTCTGTAAAGCAGGCTGCATGGCTTCGGACAACCAGCAAGGGGGGATTCCCCGGCACTTTTTGGGGGTCACCATTATAAGGATTATGGCATTTTGGGGGGCTATGTTAAGATTCTACCCCATTTTGGGGAAACTTCCACATCTGAATCTGAGAACTCATCATCAGGCACTGAGTAAGGTACCGTCAAGTCCTTCTATTGCACGAGATGAAGCATTTGTGGTCGTGCCCTCAATCACCTCCTTGTCACATCTCCGGATCAGGGCCATGAAAGGTAGCGAGATTTATGAAGTATGATGAAGTCGGGGACATGGTTTGGATTTTTGGTCTGTCCTGGACAACCTGCACGATAACCTCGTGCAAGGCGTTGGCAGTCGGTGCACTCACCTGTAGTGGTCTGGTTCAGGCTCTTCAAATGAGTTGGATCTGTCTATTGTCTTAAGGTATGTATGAGGGGCAGGAGTCTTCCAGCGCCACAAACAGTCCACAAAGAGACTGCAGCAAACGAGCCTCGTCCCCCTCTGCCCGCTGGTGGAAAGGCGGCTGCTCCTTGCAAGCAAGATTCCTTTCTTGGAAAGCGCTTGTCAAGAATACTTGAGAACGTTCAAAGAACCATCCAGGTTCCACCTTTTTCGTTGCGCAACGTCAGGTGTCAGGCCACACTGAAGCTGGGCAAAGCTTCCACCACTCTCTTCAGACAGCACACCGACTCTGCCAGGAACAAGCTTGTTCATTGCATCTTCACCAGCCTTCATGCGTAAAAGTTGCTGCCATCTGTCTGCAATTCAATGTCCCACGCATGCACCGGCAAACAGCTCCGCGCAAGTGCCAAGAACGTGGACTGCACCGTCGCTAGCTTCCATCTTGCAGCAGGACCACAATCTGCTTACGGCCAAGTTGTGACGCCAGCTGAAGAGGTGTCTTACCTGTTATGTTGGCCAAGCTCTTGTCAGCACCAGCGGCCGCGAGAATCCGAATCACTTCTAGCTGGCGATGCTTCACTGCAACCCAAAGAGGTGTCGTGGAATTATGATTGCGGCGGTCCATTTCAGCTTTCGCTTCCAGAAGCAGGGTGACAACCGTTACACGGCCAGCCTTGGATGCAATCCATAGAGGCGTCTTTCCTCGAAGATCGGCATGTTCGCTGCTTGCACCAGACTGCAGAAGCAATTGCACAATTTTCTCGTACCCACGGCAAGATGCCTCCCAAAGTGCCGTCCTTCCGTCGTGGTTCACGCTTTCCGCATCTGCTTGAGCGGTCAACAGTATGCGCGCCACCCCTGTTCGATGCCAAATACTGGCCGCAGAGAGAGGCCCTCTGCCAGATCTGTTCACTTGATTCTTGCTGGCGCCGGCCTTCAACAGCAAGTGCACGACTTGCTCGTGGCCACGCTTTGCTGAGATCCACAAGGGCGTTGTTCGCTTGTTGTTGCTGCAGTCTTTGTCGGCCGAGGACTGCAAAAGCAAGCGCACGACTTCCACATGACCTGAGCTTTAGTCTAAACTGCTAGATCTGCTAGTCTCCCTTTTCATAGCGCTATAATACTCCCCTATATGATCCCCTATGTAGCCCCCTTTTAAGCAGTTTGGACTATAGCTCACCTCGCTCTGACGCTGCCCAAAGCGGGCTCCTGCCATCCCTATCGTGCCGATCAAGTTTCCCGTTGGCGTCCAACAGCAACCGTACGATGTTCAGGTGTCCTGGTGGACTAGCCTGGTACCTTTTTGGGGATCCCTGCAAGGATTATATTACTTTTGGGTCTAAATTGGTGTACCCTCATTTCCGGTAACCGCCATATGAGCTATAGACCAAACTTCTAGTATCCCCTAAGTAACCCCTACAGTAATCCCTTATATATATTTCCCTATATAGCCCCCCCTTAAGGAGTTTAGACGAAAGCTCAGTTGAACGTCTGCATACTTGATTAGTACAGCAGGAGGATGGTGGAGTCAGAAGTGGCATCAAGACAGTAATGTGTTGAGGGTTTAGAGTTCAAGGTTTACCCTAAACCCTAAGCCCCTAAACCCCAAACCTTAGGGACAGTAAATTTTCCCGCAGCCCCCAAGGGTTGCCATCACTTTCTACGGCACTTGCGCTGATGCAATTCTGCTCTGCATGCAGAAGCAACAGCACTAGGCCTCATATTGCTAGGAGGAACTGGAGATCAGCGCATCCGAAGAAAACCAGAGCATCCATGCCGACAGGATAATGGCGTTCATGGGGCTGAGCCCACAGCAGGCTTTTTGACGTTCAGCAGTGCACTTGGCTACGACACGATTGAGAAGATTACATCCCGTTTAGCTAATCGTGCTTCATTCAACCTTTTGCAGCACCAACGAGCCGTAAATCGTGCCGAAACCACAGCGGCAGCGCCATTGCCCAAAGCCGCGAAAAATTCAACACTTCCCTGGCTAATGAATAACCCATTGTACGCAGTGTTTTTGCATCGCTGACGACGAGCCTGCCCGTCTTATTTTTCATGCGCTTTGTAAGAAGACAAACCTGAGGAAGATGGAGATCGAGGGAGAAGGAGGCTGCTTTTTGGTCCGAGAACATGCCATTTTTAGAACATCCTAAACCAAGGAATAAAGGCGAATCTTATCATTCACTCCTCTGCAAAACCACAGAGCACGAAGCAGGTGAAACTTGGAGTGTCTGAAAAGACCGCAAAGTAGGTGTCTGGGTTGCTGTTAAGGAACTTAAACTAAGTTGCATAATGGTATACAGATATATATACATATATTGATTTATTTATTAATCAATATGGTTTCCCCAATATAGTAACTCAAATTCCCTTTTCCGTACACCCTAAACCCTAATTCCTTTACAGCAACCTAGGTGGCAGCGCAATTCGGGGTGCAAGTGGGGCTTGGCTTTCCGGAGTCCTTTGGCTAGGCCGGGGCTGGGTATCATGGACCAAAGTGTGACCTGGAAACCCATGTTACAATAGATTATAGTATATCATAATCTATTATAACATAATATAATGTATTCTGGTATATTATAATGTATTATAGTATACTAAACATGTGGTCAATTATTGTGGGCATTGCAAGGTAGCTAGTGCCTGAACCCTGCGAGGTGGGTCTCACAACAAATCTCAGCGATACGAGACACACACTTTGAATTTCTTGTCACGTTACGATTCAAGTCTTAGTTGGGTATGCAATTTCCAAAGATCGTCCTGATGCAGCCGCCATCCAAAGAGGAGTTCTGCTGCCTGGGAGGTACCAGCCTTCGTCAACGTCATCTCCGTTTTCATCGTCCGCCTGGTCGACATCAGCACCTGCCTCAAGAAGCACGCGGACGACGTCGGCATAGCCGCGCGAAGATGCTGCCCAAAGAGGACCCACGCCTTCACCGTGGGTCTTGTTTTTGTCTGCGCCAGCTTCCAAGAGCAAGCGAACGAGGTCCACTGCACCCCTCCTGCACGCGCTCAATAGTGGCCTTGTCCGCCAGAACACATCGCTCTGATCCGGATCCTCAGGGAGATGCAATGCCTTCTCAACGACGCACGTATCCTCTTCGACGACAGCGTCCAAGAGACTCCCAGAAGATTCTCGGAAGAGTGACAACAAAACGAGCTGTACATCCATTGGCGAGTCCAGGTTAGAATCTTCGTCCAAATCCACACCATTGTGCAGAAGCCTCTGCCTAAATCGGGGGACTCCGCACAAGCTGTGGAGGCGTTTCTTCAAAGCCTGCACTGTGGTCAACTCTTCCACAGGTATTGCAGCCACCTCTTCACCTGAAATACTCCACACACGGAACATCTTGACCCACAAGGAACACAGACGTTCGCCGAGCAGTGGACTAATAACGTCCAAGCTGGAGCATGAGGCTCAGGTCTCAATGAACCAAGATGCTGCACATAAAGTCACGGAAGTGCTCACACGACTTCGGTATACTAGCTGTTTCGTGCCTTGGCTGACCACGAGGAGCACACTGAGACGGAAGTGGCGCCAGAATCTGTGACCCCAATTGAGCTATAGTCTAAACTCCTAGTATCCTCAATAGTAAGCCCTATACTCTCCTATATAATCCCCTCTATAACCCCCTTTAAGGAGTTTAGACTATAGCTTGATTCGTGCACAGCGGGTCCTGCTCCCCAGCCTCTTCCTTCTTCCAGGGGTTAGGCAGGCATTTTCGCTCCAACTTGCCTTCACGGCACAAGAAGAGCTAGCTGATGCAACGCATATGTCACAGGCTAGCATTTGCTGGCATCCAAGCTTCAGCATTTGCAGTCGTACAGGCAACGGGTGTAGTACTTGTCACTGCTGCAGCAGCAGCAGCAGCAGCAACAGGAGGAGGAGGAGGAAAAAATGAAACACTGGTGCTGAGTTCCATGGCTGGGTGCCAGGCCGTTCAGAGTTGTGGGCAGCTGGTCCAACACGAGCATCTTCTGCGGCCACCTGTCGTGACTCGTGTCTCCTTCCTCGAAAGCTATGATTCCCCGGCAACACCTAGGCAGCGATACCTGGCTAGGTCTTACAGAAGTACCAGGGGACTTGTTATGAAGACCCCAGAAATGGAAAAAAAGAAAAACTGAATTTCAGCCACATCTACCAAAGGACTTCAAGAGGAACAACCCCTTTCCGAAGGTCGGGGCGCATATATTCCGGCAGCTGATCGCGCAGGCACGCATTGAGATGGTGAAAGGACCGCTCGTCGCAACCTCCACACAGCAACGCCGACTTCACAGTGTCTTTGGGTCTTGTGGTTTAGGGTTTGGGTTTTAGGGTTTATAAGGGTTTAGGGTTTAGGGTTTGTAAGGGTTTAGGGGTTAGGGCTTATAAGGATTTATGGCTTGGGGTTTATGAGGGTTTAGGGTTTCCCAAGGACAGAATACATGAGAATCTGTCGGACCTAGCAGCTCCACGTCTCTTAGATTCGGAAGAAGGCAAATAGCACCTTCACGCAAAAAAGCACCTGTCAGGTTAAACTGAAGTTCCTTGTTCCAGGAATCCCCCAAATGGGAACCATCAAATCCTGAGCCCTGTTGCCGATACTCAGATCTGGCGTCGCCCATCGAATGAGAGAATAACATAATTTCGCGGGTATGAGTGAGGTACCTAGGACCATGTAGGAATTCTACTGAGTTGCTGTTAAGGAACTTATGTTATGTTACTATATTGGGGAAAGCATATTAACTACTACATACATATATGTATACACATTCTGGTCACGTAATTTAAGTTCCTTAACAGCAACCCAGTCTAGTATCAACCGAAACTCTAGACCCAACCCTCTCAGCCTTTTCGCCAGACAACGAAGGCAACCAGGACAGGCTGACCCACATTGTTCTTCCTCACTACTTACTGGTCCTGAGTAGGGAATATGGAAATATGTTATGTAGGGATTATAGGGGGCATATTCCCTTATTCCCTACTGACAACCAGTAAGACTAGGGCTATTACTTGAGGCTTTTCTGGGACTGAGGAGTCGCAAGGGGCCCTGTGTCCTTCAACACAGCATGTTGCCCCGCTAGAGGGGCCAGGGCCTGCCACGGTAGAGTGCTAGCAATACTAAAACAAATCATGAAAAGAAAAAATAATACAAAAAATATTAATGATAATATTAACAAGGATAGTAGTAACAATAGTAGTAGTAGTAGTAGCAGTAGTAGTAGTAGTAGTAGTAAAAACAAGAATAATAATCATAATAATAACAACCGTGAGAATAGTAATCATAGCTTCCGTGCCGTGGATTGCAATTTGTGACCATGGCTCCTTTGCTTGCTCTCATGTCTCAACACCACTCCAACCATGATGGCCGCCAACAACTGTTCCTAGTCTACGGGACTACGAACTCACATTCATCAGCTTTTGGACACAAAACCCTAAACCCTAAACTAAACCCTAAATCCTAAATCCTCAACCCTCAACCCTAAACCCTAATCCCTAAACCCTAAATCCTAAATCCTAAATCCTAAATACTAAACCCCTTTGCTGGGTCCTCACATCGCAGGCTCCACAATCAACTTGAGGGCAGCGACCCAGGACAGCATCCACCTCACCTGGGGCTCAGAAATCCGTGGGTTGGTGGGTTTAGGGGTTTAGGG